AACTTTTTCATCCCGAGTTTTTGCAAGCGCTGCCGCTGGCCCGGGGGAGCCCCGCAGCGGGATGGGGATGGCAGGGTGGGGGGGCAGCCCCGGGTGTCCCAGGTGCCCCGGGAAGTGTCCCCTCAAGAAAAATCCGTTTCCCCCTTCGCGTTTCGATGGCGGGGAGAGCCAAGGCGGTGGGGCAGGGTCCGCCGAGCCGAGGGAAGCGGGATGGGGCAGGGAGGCGGTGGGAGGCCGAGGGACCGACAGCGGCCGGTGGAAACCCTCCCGCGGAGCATCCGCGGCGCGGAGGGGCCCCGCGTTCCCGCGGAAGGCGAAGGCTTGGCCGACACTCAGAGGGACGAAGGCTACGGGTCCAAAAGGGGCTAATTTCGTTTTGCTCTACTTCTTAGGAAAATTGCTGTCCTGGCTGCTCAGAGGAGGACAGGCCGGCCAGGAGCCAGCGTAATTTTCCACCTTCCACTCCTGAGCGATTTAACACGCACTTCGGGCTGGGTTTCTTCCCTCCCTCTGCTTCCCGCTCTGCCCGGCCTGGGGGGAACCCGGCTCTGAGGTCAGGGGGTTCCAGGGCATCTTTCACCGATTTGGGGTTTGCTTCGTTTTCCCTTCAGGACGGGGCTGCGGTCGCGCGGGGCGTGGGGAGCTTTGCTTTGCGCGGAGGGCGTAAGCGTGGCTCTCCATGTTGTGCGTAAGGGTCATGCTTTTCATTTGGGGTGATGCTGTTTTGGGGCAGAACACCGCCCCGACGGACATCACCCCCTCCCAGTACCCACAACAGCAACCACGGCCCCCCCAGAGCGCTCCCTGCTCCGCGGGGCTGTCCTGCGCCCACTCCTGCGCGCATCCCCGGCCTCTGCTTCTGCCCACACGAGTGGGAATCCCGTGGGTCAGAGCCACGCACCAGCAGAGGCGTGGTCAGTGGGCACATTTTGGATGGTTTCGTTATTAAAAGTTGTTTTCCTGCAGCAGCTCCCGTCTGAGGGCAGCGGGAGAGGTTGGCTGGCTTGGCTCGGGCTTGGTTTGGCTGGGATTGGCCTGTTTGGGTTTGGATTGGCTCGGTTCGGTTGCATTCATCGCAGTTTCATTTGGTTTGGTTGTGTTCGTTGTGGTTTGGTTTGGTTTGCTTTGGTTTGGTTTGGTTTGGTTTGGTTTGGTTTGGTTTGGTTTGGTTTGACTGAATGAACTCGAGTTTCCTTGGGGTGGATTGGGTTTAGTTGTTCTGAGCTTGGTTTAGTTGGGTTTTGTTGGACTATGGTTGGGTCTGGCTAGACTGAATTTGGTTGGGTGTGGGTTGGAGAGCTTCTCTCTCCCCTCTTTTCTCCCTGCAGCTCTATTTTTCAGAGGGCTTCCCTCTCCTCGTGGGCAGAGGTGCGCTTGGGAGGAGATGCCTTCATTTTTGTAACAATTCCCAATAATTTATAGACTGAATCTGAGTCTATACAACGCTAATAAATCTGAAAAGGAAAAGCTGGCAGAGACTGAACTTCACCACCTGATATACGGCCCAGGTGGTTTGGCATTGGCTGCAACCAGAGCAGCCAGCAGGGAATGGGAGCCCCACTCCGAAAACAGGGACTCTCTCCAGGCACCTGGGGGGGCGACAGGGCCCGGTCCCCTCGGGGACAGCAGGAGTCCTGCTCTCGGGCAGACATGTCTCCTCTTCTCCCTGGGGCTGTCACTGGCGTGGCCAGCGCTGATTTATTTCTCAGAGCCATCCCTAGTTCTGGGGTTATTTATAGCAGGAGGAAGCGGAGCGGTTTATTTGCGGGCTTCCAGCCTTTTACAGATCCCCGACGCGGTCCTCAGCCGGGGGGAGCCGGGAGCGCGGTGGCTGCGCGGGTGCGGAGCGGGGATGCTCCCCGGCCTGTCCCACGCAGGGGTTCCCACGCAATGCCCTCCCGCCACCCGCTTCCCCGCGGGTCCCGACCCTCCCTCCGCTTCTCCACGGCCCTTCCCACGCCCACGCAGGTCGCGGCTCCCCAGGGATGTCCTGGCAGGGTCGGGCGGCTGGCGGGGTCCCCACGGGAGGGCTGCTGCGGCCTCTCCTCCCTTCCCGCAACTCCTCCCGGCCCCCAGCGATGTGGGGAGAGAAAAGGGGACCCCAGCTCAGTGACCCCATCCTGCCCAGCCTGTGGGGCCATGAGGCCGCTTCCAAGTCCGAGGAAGCAGAGCCGGCTCCGAGTGGGGCATCAAGGCTCGCCCTGGGTCGTGGGCTGGCCAAAAGGTGAGGCGTGACGTCACGCATGCAATGAATGACGTCACGCGAACGGACCCGTGACGTAGCGCCTGGTGGAAGAGTTTGCCAGCCGAAAGGTGTTCCAAACGGAGCGGGCTTGGAGGGGAGGAGAGAGGAGAAAGGAGGTGACCGCCCTGCGGGAGAGCTCTGTTGTCACGCCAGATGTGTCACGACCAGCAACGGGAATAACCGGGAGGATCTGGCTCTGTGCGGCTGGGAGTGAGAGGATGCCCTTAAATCCAGATGGACGACAGATATATGATATAGATTAGATATATCTAAGATACAGATTAGATATATCTCTAGGATATAGATGTATCCCCCCCACTGCAGACCCGTGCGCAGTAAATGCCTGACCCGCACCACGGCCCGGGCAGGGGGGGAACTGGGCACTGCTCTGGCTCCGGGGGGCCAGGAGAGGCAGGGCCAGCCCGTGACTCTCTATTTAACACCGGTTTTGAGGGATGTTTGCCTCGGGGACACCCCAGGAGGAGCGGAGGGGGTTGTCGCCCCGGGAGACATCTGGACCCAGCATTACCGGAATCACGTCGGTGCCAGGGCTGAGCCTTTCCTCACGCCCAACCTGTAGGAATTGAGCCCCAAACGATTTTTTAAAAAGCAGACATTACAGAGCAGAACAAAAACTGTAAATTGGGTGCATTAAAAAATAAATACATCTAAAAGAACGAAAAATGCCACCTCCCGTCCGGAGGCTGCTGTGAGCAGTGGGTTTAAAATAGCCGGAGCGGAGCTGGGCTGTTGGCAGCCTCATGGAATCATAGAGGCATCCAGGTTGGAAAAGATCCTTATGATCATCGAGTCCCACTGCCTCCCTTCAGCACGACCCATCGAGCTCCGTCCCGCACTCGTGGAGAGCGGAGAAGCCTCCGCAGACTGGCCCCGGGGCTGCCGCTCACAGAAATAAAGGGAAAAAAGGGCCTGTGGAAGGTCTCAGACATGGTGCACGTTTGTAACCTATTCACCTTTCCTATTCTCGGGAGAAAGGCCGTCCCCACCTCTTGCTTCCCCCGCGGGAGGAGGTCTCTATCCTTCCCGTGCCATGGGCTCCTGCATCAGCTGAGCCCCTCGAGGCCCAGAGACCCCGGTAAATATTTGCATTTTAAACCACGTCCATCCCCGAGGTTGTCTGGTTCACCTCGGGTGCTCGACATTCCCAGTCGTTTACAAACTCCTGAGCGAAGTTCAGCCGGGGAGCAGCGGGCAAGGCAGAAGGACATCAAGATGCCACTAAAAAAAAAAAAAAAAAAAAAAAAAAAAAGAGAGCTTGGGGAGAGTTGACCCTGACAGCACCCACCTGTACATCCCCTGAACTGCAAAAAAGCTCTGAAAACTAGAGGTGAAGGGGCTGGGAGTTTTGGGCTCCCCCCGCCTGGGGTCATCGACCCTTCAGGGCACTGCCAGGGGCGCGGAGCGGGTCCGGCTCCATCACCCCAGAGAAGCTGGAAAAAGCCTGCGCGGCTGGAACGGTGCTTCCCTCCACTTTTCCATAAACCAGTTCAAAAGTTCTTTCCCACATCTTTACTTGATTTGAAAGCAAAATAGAGTGTCAGGATAGATCAGTTAAAGTGAGTCGAGAAAACAGAGAGGAGAGAGGGTCCTTTCCCCAGGCAGTCACAGCCAGGGTCCTTCTCCCCTTTCCCCTCACCCCCTTCCCCGGTGCAGCGAGCACCCCGTGGGCACCCCCAGCTCCCACCTTCTTTCCCCCCGTGGGTTTTTCCACTTCGCCGAACACCGAGGTGTTATCCAGGAAAGCTCAAGGCCGTATCCCGGCCTGGGCGGGCAGCACAAGGAACCGGCCCCTCTCCACGCACCCCTGCCCCGGGACAGGGCACACTGGTGACTGCTGCGGGACAGGGGGGCTCCCGGGGGAGGCTCTCCCACCCCCTCCCCACCGGCTGCCCAGGTCCCTGGACTGGCAGAGCCTCAGACACCCTTCCCGAGGGTCACCGCGAGTTCGGCTGCGGCAGGAAAATTATTTGTTATTAATCGTGTGCTGAAAGATGCTGTGATGGGAGCGATGGCTCGGCCGCTGCTCCCCGGGCAGGGCCCGGGCCGCGTTACTGTAACGCCCTCAACCTGAAACAAAATGTTAAAAAGGGTTAAAAACAGCTCAGACACAGCCCAAAGCACCCCTCCGGGAACGTGTTTGCCCCGCGGGACTGAAACGCGCGGTGGGGTCGCTCAGCCCCCCGCAGAGATGCTGAGGAGGGCAGTGGGTGCGCATCCACCGCAGGGCGCGGGGGTTGCGCGGGTCGTGAGGCCCAGCCGGGAAGGGTGCGGGGATACCCCTGGAGACACCGTGCTGCGCGGGGGCGCAACCTGCGCGCTGCCGGCCGGGCAGGGCACCGCGGAGCGGGAGCGAACCGGCGGGGCTTGTGCGGGCGGGGAAAAATCCCGGGAGGATTTTCCACCTTTCCATTCGTTTGTGGAATATTTTTAATACATCCCCGAGTTTGGAGGAGGCGGCGGGTGAGGGGAAGGAGAAGGAGGGAGGGCACTCCCGGAGGAGCCGCGGCCGGGCGGCGGGGGCCGGGCAGGGGCTCGGGGGGCCGCGGGTCTGGGCGCGGGCGCGCAAGGAGCGCGGATGGCGGGGAGCGCGGAGGCAGGTCCCGCGCGGCCGGGCTGGGCCAGCGCTAGATGGAGTGATGCATGAGCGAGACGGGGAGGTTTTAACCTTCAGGGGGAGGAGCCCCGTTTAACTACAGGCATTTGTTCTAGGGCAGGTCACTTTAATCTCTTTAGCTTTAAACTGTCCAACTCGCAACTCGCGTTTCTCTATAAGGGATCTTTACCACTTCCCTGCCTATGCGGCCGGAGCGCCGTGCCTCTCCCCAGCAGACAACCGCCTTCCAGGCACTGCTCAGACTGCTTCCGACACCCTTAAAATAATACTGTTAGTAATAAGTGGATTTGCTTTTGTTTTTTGTTGATTTTTTTCTGCCTTTAAAAAAAAAGGGGGGGGGCAAAAAAAAAAAAAAAAAGCTCCTTGTTCCTTTCTGTGTGGAATAAACACCTGCAAACTCCCCCAGGCAGCTCGGCGCCCCTGCCATGGATTCCTTTAAAGGTGGAATGAATTTGGAGAGACTGCCCGAGAGCTTGAGACCCCAACCCTCCCATGACATGGCTTCCAGCTTCCATTTGCAAAGATCCTCGGAACCCAGAGACCCGATCGACAACTCAGCCAGTGAATCCTCCGACACGGAGGTGCCAGGTAACCCTTCACCCCCCCGCGCCCCCCGCGGCCCCGGTCCTCTCCCCCCGCGCTGCCTCCCCCTCCCCACCGCACCTTCCCTTCGCGGGGCGGCCGCGGGTGCTGCGCCCGCACCCCACGCGCAACCAGGGGCGATGGGGGACAAGGGGGAGCAGGAGCTGCCGGTGATCCCGGGGGCTTCGTCCCGAGCGAGCCCCGGGAGTCGGAGAGGGGGGCAGGAGCCCTCCTGGAGCTGCTGCCCCCGCCGTGCCCGACGCTGACAGCCCTCCGGGAGGGCACACATGGCTCCCCAAGCTCCCCAACCCCATCCCAGGAGCTGCTCTTTTCTCTTTCTTCTTTCCTTTTTTTTTTTCCCTTTTTTTTTTTTTTAATAAAAAACACAGTTATTAATTGATGGGGTCGGGAGGAAGGGGGGGCTCTTCGGGGAGTGCGGTTTTGCCGGATGTTTCTGAAATAATGTCAGCTTTTGCCAGGGTTTATTTTCCACCTCGGGTGGTGCAGAGATGGAAAAAGATCTCTCTGTCAGAGAAAAAAATTTAAAAAAAAAAAAGGAAGAAAAGGCCGGCAGAGCGGGAGAGGCAGCGTGGGGCCAAGGCAGGCAGCGCGGGCCGCCGCGGAGGGGATGTGCGTGGCCGCGGAGAGGTTTCCCGCGGGGACTGCACTCTTTCCCTGCGGGAAAGAGGCCCCGCAGGGAAAGA